GGGGGGGGAGGGGGTCCAAGCCAAGGATGTTGTGGAGAGACAGGAACCAGGAGCTCTGAGGACCACCCAGACTGAGCCCCCCCAGGGGTCTGCAGCTGGGAGGAGGGGCATTTTTATCACCCCCTTCCAAAAAAGAGAAGGCGAGTCGTTTTAACCTTGTGTTAGCAAAATATCTCATGAGCGGATGAAGAAATCATGGATTCATTTCCTTCACTTCAAGGTTTTTGCCACAGAAATGGCTCCAACTCAGTCAAACTTACAGCCAAACATTTGATGTGGTAGTAGCTGAGAGTTGTCCCCAACACATACTCTTAAATGTCAGTCATTCCTGTTGGTGTGTTAGCAAAATATCTTATCACTCGTGACATGGTTTAATCACTCATCGATGCAACTAATTCAAGATGACCGCTACAAAAATGACTCCAACTCAGTCTAATTTAAAGATGTTAAGCTGATATTTGGTGTGGTAGTAGCTGAGAGTTGTCCCTAATGCGCACTGTTAAGTGTTAATCAGTGCTGTTTTGTCTGTTAGCGAAATATCTCCTTGGGTTAAAGTAATCATGGATGTCACTTCAGTTTAAGATGGCCGCCACAGAAATGGCTTCAGCTCGGTCCAATTTAAAGATCACTCAGAATGGTAGTAGCTGAGAGTCATCCCTACACACTTTTGAGTGTCAGTCGTTCCTGTTTGTCTGTTAGCGAAATATCTCACGGTCCTCTGTCTGGATGGATCGTGGTGAAACTTCCAGCTGGTAATCGTCAGAACTACGTCTGCAACTGATTTAACTTTCGGAGTCGAGTCAAATTTAAGATGGCCGCCAGGTGGGCTCGCAAAACACAAATGTGGCAACGAGTCGGTCGGCTGTCTAGAATATGAGCTAAAGTTTGGCGTGGTAGTCGCTGAGAGCGATCCCAAAGGGCTGCACCTCCATCAGGTCTTGACAGATCGTACATGAAATGGAGCGCAACGTTTTTGTAAAAGCTCATTCGCTCATTTGTTTTAATAACCCCGCCCCCCCATTGGGTGTTCCACCTGGTTTTACCCCCCGACCCTTTTGCTTCCTGCCCTCAGGCGCTCATTGTTCCAGCGTGAATAATGACAGAAAGATATTTTCCAGAGCGGCGCCATTCGTTCGGAGTGCGCGGCTCCTGCCCGTTTCACGACAGAAGAAATAAAATAAAATAAAATCGGAGTAAATGTTTTCAAAAGGCCCCGCCTCCTCGTGTTGCGTGTACGGAGAGGCTCAGGTGTTCAAAGCTTTTAAATTGGAAGGCTTGAATAGTTGGAGCTGGATGAAAAACATCATCAGGAGGTCTTTGTTAATTTCACACCCCCTCCGTCGTGCCAGTCTTAACAAGCTCTCGACTAATTAAACGGAGGATTGTGGATTTTCCCCTGTCGTAAAGTTTAAAGACCTTCTGAGGGTTGAGGAATGCTCAGCCTTAAGGTTGTAATCAGCTGACTTTCAGGAAATTCAAATAAAAAAATAAAAATACTGCAGTTTTAACACTCCGTAGACCAGAAATCAAACTGAAGTGTACGACTAGAATAAAAAGGTATCATACCTGCAAACTTGTTGCTTTTTCTTAGCGAAAATCGCATATTTCAATCGAAAATATGTAATTTTTCTTAAATATGAAACGCTAAGCTAGCACCTTGCAATACAGACACGCTAGCTAAAGACTCATTCAACCTTTATTTATACACGTTAAGATGCGTTTGAGAAGTGGAAAGCGCAACTTACGCAGCGCTAAGCTAACGCTACATAAGTCGCATAGTGCTAGCTTAACAGCTTAGCACTACGTAAGTGATGGCAGTTGTCGATCCAGGGGAGTTAAGATGCGTTAGAGAAGCGGAGCACTACGTCTGTATCATTTAACGACAGACTACAGCTCTCTACAGACTACAGGTCTCTACAGACTACAGGTCTCTACAGATGTACAGGTCTCTA